AAATACTAGGAGACACTCAGTTCTACATAAACAATCATAAATATTTTTTTTCATTAGAAACCAGTGATTATCCTTCATTTCAGTGGGGGGGAATGATGCAGCAACAACAAAAAACCCATTCGAAGTCAAATTCTGCATTTTTTGTTTTGTTCTCATAAACATGTAATTTATTTCATCACTCTAGTTCTATCTAATTCAAGACTGTAACATACTTATCATTTTTGGCTAACAAGATCGAATTACCAACAACAACAACAAAAAAAAGACAAGAGGATACAGAAACTTCGTGCAAAAACAAAATTATTATTATTATTATTAAAACTAAAAAAAAACAACGGAAATCAATATAAAACGATTTATTTTATTAATATTCCAATAAATGTCGAGTGACTTAAATAATAATTTAAAATGGGAAATGAAATTCCCTTGATAATTAATACTTATATGAATTGCTTCATCGATTTTCTTTTTTTAATTTAAGATATAATATTTTCGTAATTGAATTCGTGAGTCGGTCTCGTGAATGAATTCACGAGACTGAAGACTCTGGATTCGAGCCCTGCATGTGAGATCGTGGATATACACCGTTGAAGAGTCGCATACTAGGACGAAGTGGCTGTCTAATGTTTCTAGGTTTTCAATGATCGTCTAGTATAAATTGATTCATGAATTCAACTATTAAAATTACTATAATCTCTACAAACACCCAATTCTAATTAGATATATAAATTAAATTTTTCAAAGTAATTCGGTGATGTAATAGATAAATTATTTTGTAGTAAATTTGTCTATGATAAAATTTATCCATTCTGATAAGGTTTAAAAATATCTTCACTATGGTTATTCTTATCTAAATACCAGTGATTACAGATGATTAAATAATACGAATAATGATAAATTTACGAAGATGAACTTTTGCTATGGATTTATATCTGTCGGAATACCACGGAAAACGAGGAAGCAATGGACAGATGTCCTGTATTAGTCAAACACTCCTCACCATTGTACATTCGTTATTCATGTACAAATAAATTCAACCGTAATTATTTACTCACTAGTGTGACTAGTATCGAAATAGATCTCGGTTATTTCAATGAAAAGATGTGACTGGTTTAATTCATCTTAGTCGATAGTGAGTAGGTTAATACTAGTGGTACTGGATAATTGTCGCGCATACACTGGTAGCCGATTGAAATCAAAAATTTGTAACACTTAATTCTGGCTCAATATGCTTAAAGTTAACGTGTTCAATATCAGACGATAGTGTCTTTGATGACATCCCTGTTGGTATTGTGACTTCACAGGAGGCTTATTCGTTACCAAGTACGAAGTAATAAATAATTATCAACTAGTCTTAATACAATGCATTTACTTAAGACATTTTTTCATTCAAGACTTTTGCATTTGATCAGCATTTCACTAAACAATCACAATGGAGTGTATTTTAGTTTAATTGTTTAGGCAAAAATTATTTTCTTTAATTTTAATTATCGGCGAATTTCACTTTTAAGAAAAAAATGTGCATCATGTAGTTCCATCAATTAGGGATTAAACACAAAACATTAATATTGAATTACGTAGTAAGAGAACTTAACTCTGTAAAAACTAACTGGAACCATTATAATGAATCGTGTCACCTAAAAATAACAAAGTTCTTAAAGATAAAATAGTTCAGGGTCCCATTATACCCGTACGATAAGACTGTAACGTCTAGTCTGTGTCAAACGAAAATGGGTTATTCTAGCCTACAAACAGATCAGTTTATTCATTTTCTAGTGACATTTTGACCTTGTCAGTTTATTAGCTTCCTAACCTTGACTGTTTCTATATGTATCCATCGCTTACCCTATTCATCAAATGTCTTTGGCTAATTTTTGTCTAACTAGAAATATTGAGCCACCCGATAAAATGGAGTTGGCACATATACCTTCTTCACTTCGCCTTACTTTCCCGCTTTTTGTTCTGAATGCCTGTCTGGATAAGTGAGTACTTGAAATAAATTCGTTTAACAGAATCCGTATTTGTCTTCTCATCAACGTCACACAGATGGGGTTGGCCTACGTAATATACAGAATTAAATGAAATTAAGTGTCACTTTTAGCCAACTACATATCACAATTAACGGGTTCATGCGTAAAATATGTTGGAAACTTCATAAACTTAGAGCCAAACAACTTAAGCATACAGTGTGTCTAATAAATAAGGAAGCTGAGCTACTAAGTATATCAGACGAAAATAAAGAAAACTTCTCACGAATATCATGAAATGCTGAGGTCTGCCTATGGAGATAACACAAAAAATAAGACTCTTTCAAGTAGAATAACCTATTCTATGCAGTCTATGAGGTTTGCCCTAGGCCAAAATGACGGTTGTTCTTTTGGACTAGGGAAAATATCGGATATGTACAGCCTGTCAAATACTTTTAACTGTGTGAATAACTGTTTATAAACTGAATTTCGATGTTAACTGTGAACGCGACTCTAGCAAAATATCCAGCGACAACGTATCCGAACTGCCTAATGTCTGAGGATTTTCAAGAATTTTTTGAGTAAAATAAATGTAGATGGGACGTGTATTTCTACAAGCGAGACTCACTTAAAAGAAAATCCTATAAACTTGTTAAAGTTCTTATGATCACATTTCGAGTACTTGTCGGACAAAATGGAGGCACGCCCAGCTAGATGTAATCAACCAGTAACTTACGCCTGTTCCTCCTCATGGAGGCGCATAGGCCGCCCACCAGTATTCTCCATCCAACTCTTCCCTGGGCAAGTTGGTACATACATCTCAATGAATGACTTTTACATAAAATTGGAGAAACAAGGACATTTAAATATTTGTTTCTGATTTGAGATATATTTTAATTCAAGGAACATTTACTATTTGACCACATATTTATTCATTACCAGTCGAAATTACAAAGACAACTTTCAATTTTCGTAAAAATATCCACGAGCCATTGTCCTACGATCTTAATGTTCCTGTTTAAAATTTACTCAGCTATTTCTATCAAACTTTCAATGATACTATAACCCCTGTCCCAATTCTTGAACTATTAGCTATGTTGCGATTTCAGTGTACTATCAAAAAAATTAGTACTATTAAAACATACCAAAATTAACCGAAAGTACTAAATCTGTGTTAAAAGAAGATAAGTGCAATAAGTTACCAACACAATATTCTCATCTAAGCCTTAAAAATTCAGTAACTGGAGTTTAATGCAAAGTACTGTCTGTTTATTGTTGAACCTCTTTAACATTTAGTTCTAAATTTGTTCGAACCACACCTTGTACGTTTAATTACATTCCTCATATTCAGGTAGTGTCTTTGTATAAACTCAAAAGAGCTTGTTTTTCATCAAACGATTATAGTAGAAAAGTTCACTGATGCATTTAAAAGTGTAGATGAGTAACTCAAACAGGTTTTAACAAAATAAACGAATTACTTGACGAAGTGATACTCGATCACATGGCTTGATTAATGGTCGTGCAGAATAAGGTTATAGCAATTTAGCAATTCGCTAGGTTAATCCTTAACTAGCTTATCAATGATTTGTGGTCAGCCAATCATCATCAGTATGGAACCTGGTACAAATGTGCTTTGGCCCAAGTTACCGAACCATACAACAAGGCTGAAATGTGATCAACAAGATGAACATTAAGGAGTCGGAATAAGTTAGTAGTAATGATAGTGAGGACTATACATTAAAAATATGGTTCAAAAAGACAGAATGATGAAACATTGAGGTATAGCGGAAATGAAGACCTACAGAAACAGAGACTAAATGCATCTGTTTCGTTGTAACCGATTGTAGGCCTTATCAATACTGATCGCGACTATTTCAAGGAACCCACGAGATAGTCTGCATTTAGCAATATGGTTAGATCAACAGTCAATGGCTTTGTGAACTGGCGCTAAATTATGGTCTGATCACCACTAGGTTTCTTCTAAGTAACTCTTACAACAGTCAAGATTGTTCGTCGACGTTTACTCAACCTATCCACCAGACGCGAGGTATCCTTAAAATATATCTATGACCAAAAACCTATACCTTAGGCAGCCATTGTACTTTGAATGACTGTTTCACAGCCATAGAATAAGATAAGTCTTGTCTACGCCAGAACCAACACAAAATGACAAAGATCAATTGTGTTTTCTGAATATATGCCGAGATCTCGTCAGAAATCAACCCACCAGGGCTGATGAAACTAGCATGATTGAGACTGGTTTATTGTTTTTAAAATACCCCATTTAGACGAAAAAACCAAAACAATCAATACTGTTTTTTTTAAATGCTGATGATACTGAATGATAAAAAATAAGAATTGTAAAGTATAATAAACGAACACTTCAGCAAACACACAGATATACCGGTTATGACAGTACCAGCGTTACATCGTAAACCAAATTTTAGAGTTAATAACAGGCACATAATTATTATTAACAGTAGTGTGAACAACTGTAGTTCATCTAAACAAATATTTTCTTTTAAACAAAAGTATATTATTTATAAGATTATAACAACATTGTATACAAGCATGAAATAATAAAAGAATGAATCTTTGAACCAACATACACAAAACTTCATTTAATGAAAATGAATTACTGATTCAGATGAGAAAATAAGATTGACCAATTTACAGACTTTATATAAATTGCTTGTATTTGCCAAAAACGAAATGGAGTTAATTCTTCGTCTTCTATTTTTCATATACATTAATGTCCTCTTTCATATATTGAAAGTAAATTAAAGTTAATCACATTTACACGACTACCCCTATTCATGGATAAGAAATCCACTTGTGAGCCAAGAATATATAGATGGATAGAATAGTACATGATTGAAAAAATTCTATTTAGAAAGAGACTGAAACAATAAAATTGTAACTGGTAGAAAGAAAATGGTTTTGTTTTTGGGAAAAGAAACAAAACAAAAAAACTATAGCAAATAAAGTACAAGTTAGTTAAACTGGACGAACTTTGTTTACATTTAACGGTCGAGGTATTCCACTTTTCGTTTTATCTAAATACAGAGGGAAGTGACACAGAGAAGATTAAAGTAGATAAGTTGTCCAATGATAAACAATCGAATCGTAGTCTACAACAAAACTATTACTTGTAAACTAACTGTGATTCTATAAATATATTTACAAATATTAACTTCTAAAAAGAAGTGAACTAGTTACTGCAAAAAAAGAGAACTAAACTGAGTTCGAAGGTCGCGTGCGGGATAGTGAACGCGCACTACAGATGAGTCCTATGCTAGGACGAGACAGCCGTCCAGTGCTTCTACACTTTCAAAAGTGATCTGACATCGATCGATCCATGATTTCAATCAGAAATATATATTTATGTCAATAAATATTATGAAATAAATACCTTTCAAATTGCATATTCTACCATATGAAACAAAGATATAACTGGTCTTTGTGTAAATAGTCCTTTATACCTACTGTTTCAATTATTTTGGATCGGATTTAGAGCCTACATCACGAGTGATTCACTTCAAAATAACAATCGTTTTATTAGTAAACATAAAGATTTAAAATAAATTGACTTGTTTACGAAATACAAATATTTGTGTAGTTAGCTTAGAACTATACGTTTTATGTGGAGACCGATGATACTATCAAGCTGCCCAAATCAAAGTTAACAAGAATTTTCATCTAAATTTGTGATCACTGGCTTTTTCTCACTTCAAATCTGCGTACAATTACATAAACTTGTGATCTGAAGACAGATCATCCATGTTTCACACCAAATGACTAACATCCATCTTTGCAAATATAACATCCTTTTTAATGTCGAAGTTTAATAAGTAGAGTAAATAGGCTTACTTTTCATTAGTGAACACGAACGATATCGTACTAGACTAAGCTCAAGACCTTGCCAAGTTATATTTGGACAACAAAGTTGAAAATTGTATGATTAGCATCTCCAAATGTAGTCAATCTGTGATACACTTCCCCCGTTATCTAACGATATTTATTGATAACTATCAACACTAATCACGACTTCCCATAAAAAACTACAGGAATTCAACTTAAACTTTCAGTAACTCAGCTTGCAATCAAAATTATGCCTCAAATCGCTAACTAAAAAAGATGTTAAAACCTCAAAAACTACTCACTAGCTTCTGAGGTACTGGTATTTTTTGTGGAATGGCCATTATATTTCTGTTGTTGACTTTGTAAACTTCTTGGATTCTCTGTACATTGAGGCATTTGAATAGTACTATTGGATGAACCCAATAAATGAGCTTTCCAAACATCTTCTGGACCACCAGGAGCAACTGAATCTGGTAAATTTGGTAAATCATGATGACAAAGTGGACAACGTAGTCCAGAAGATAATTTGATAGGTAAACAATGATGATTGCTTAAATGTGTTTTTAATACAGCTTCTGAACATTTAGAACAGCGAACATACTGTCCTGGTGTACAAGCTTCACATTCTTTAAGTAAATGATCCGTTAAACCAGCTATTTCAACTACCTATAAATATGTAACAAGTTGAACGGGTTGATATTACTGGTACACATGATCAGCTAACTAGGTAAATATATTTAATCAATAGTTTAAATTGAAATATTCTTATTCCCAAACCTGAAGACCTATTTTGGTTTGCACGTATAATATATTTAGACAACATTAAAATATTAATAGCATAGGATGATCTAAATAATAAGTTTAGTGACAACATAAATAATTCGTATTGCTATAACAAATAGCCTATTTACATAACCCATCGGTCATCAGGTAGCGGTTTATTGTTGCTACCGCCTAAGAAAACTTAGAACGGTTTGTATATCACATCGGTAGAAAATACAATACATAAGTCAACTGATATTTATGTTATAAATGAAAAACTAGTATTTCATCACTTCTAAAATTATGTCAGTAAATTAATAACTTGTCTAACTTATATGGGATACAGTGAGCAGAAGTTCAGTTTCACTGATTACTTTGTAGATTCCATTTTATCACCCATTATCTGAGAAATGATACTATTGTGCTTAAGTGTTTCCTGTATATAATCATCAGTTTTAATTTCATAATAGCTCCGCCTGTAGCTCTTCTAGAGTTACTCTAAGTCCCAAGTTAGGGTAAAAGAAGAGGGTTGAGCATAGGGTTAGCAACCCGATCTCGTAGAAAACAACCTGATTAAAAAGAAGCTAACCAGAATAAACAATTTAAACCAATTAAACTGTGCCCTCAGAGTTGGAGAATCTCCATTCAGAAGAACTATGACACCTCATGGTAGAAACCGAAATTCTTCGGAAGTCATGAGATCGATGCCTCTTCTAACAACGACAACAACAATTAACAGAGGTACATGGAATGTTCGAACAATGTGAGAAACCGGAAGGGCCAATCAAATAGGTACGGGAATAAGGAGATACAAATTGGAGGTGCTCAGAATAAGTGAAACACATTAGACCCAAGCCGTACTCTGATCAAAACGAAGAAAATGCTTCACACACAGAGAGAGTTGCTCTGATGCTGTCCAAAGAAATCTCATGAATCCAGGATCATTCAAGCATTCCTCAAAACAATGAAGGAGGGAATCATAATGGATGTTATCCAGTGTTGTGCACCTACCAATCATAGCGATGACAATAATAAAGATCGGTTTTACAAGAGGCTGTAATGGATCATAGCGAATTGCTCAGGAAACGACCTGACTGTCCTGATGAAAAGCCTATACGCTGAGGTCGGAATGAACAAAACCGGGTAAGAAAATACCATGGGACGACATGGACCGGGAGAAAGGGAAGAAAATGGAGAGAGATTTGTAAAAAAATCTAATTTCTTAATCTATAAACTATCAGGTAAACAGTATTTTTGTCTTCTGACAAGAGAAGTTTCATTCATTTAGGAGTTTATCACTCCAATAATCCTGTCTATTCTAATAGTTACATTGGTTCGATAAGATATTATAAAAGGTGGATCAAATTTGTGTGAGTAGACGTCATTTTTTGATATTTTTTAACTAGTTGGTGATTGGTAATATTTGGTTATCTGGCTGGATGGTTTAATTGTGGAGCTTTGATTGTTCAGGTCATTATCATCACTGGTTACTTGAAGTGGAAGTGAGCACTTTGCTCATCCACAATCATGAAGTTGGTCTGATCTGACGAGCTTATTGGTTTCTTGAAATAAGAATTTACAAAAAACTGCGACTGACTGATCACCGAGTAGTGACTAGCACAATATTTGTCCGGTTTTCTAGTGGCGATCGGATTCTATGAACCAATTTGCAATATTTCTACTAGTTTAAGTGACTCGACATTGCGTGCGATATGTTGAAATATCAGGTGGTTTGAGGTAATCGATAGGAAATCCTGAACCTAGGTTTTGTGCCTCTTGGCACTTGTAAGTAAGTTGTATCTGGAACTTATGCTCCCTAGTGAATGTGATCCCTTGTCTCCCAGGTCCATTCTCAACAGCAGAAATGAGAATATTTCCGAATACTCATCGGCTACAAATCAAACATCACCAAATAATAAAAGTGAGCACATTCAGTACAAGACGATGTGAAATCATTTGATGGCAAACAGATTTTTTAAAAGAAAACGTTAAAAACTAGTGACAAGATAGATTTTGAACACATTTCTGTGTATGAATAATAATGGTTTCAATTTCGTATGCCGAGTTTTACATCAAAGTTTTGAATGATTATCCAAAAGATACCAACTGACCTGAATTGGTGAGATATTATGTAATCGAACTCGATATATCATTTCATTAAATTTTGCTCAGAAAGGGTATACAGTTTTCATGAGCTCATTTCGAAAGAGAGAACACGAAGAGCAGTATTCATCACATTCCTTAGAGGCTGGTTAACATGAAACTCGTAGTTTATCATAAGTAAACTAATATCTTCTGAAGATCCCATAAAGTAAATAGACATAAATAGTTCAAGAGAGGATTTTATCGCTACACCATCTAATTACTTAGTCTCAAGTTAAAATTATATCTAAAAAAGCTATTTTGGTTAGTGAGTTAGTGTACCAATACTCAGATTACCTGAGTAAAATACTTCTGTAAACATGCAATATATAAAACAAAGACAAGTGTGACAACATGCCTGTTTACAATTAGGACAACGATGAAGCATTGGACAACTTTTCCAATAATGTATATCTAATCCTTCCTCTGTAAACGAATCATTTTGTTCTCCACAAAATATACATGTCTTGTCTAAACTAAGTAAAAATTCTGCTTCTTCAGTATGTTGTTGTGAATTTATTTCCAATTGAATGTTAGCAGTTGAAGAATTTCTGTTTGGATTGTCACTTTTTGTAATTCGTGAACCATGTTGATTAGACGTATGATTCTGACGATTCGGTGATGCAGATGGAGGCCCGTGTTGTGAGTTATTTGCAGATTTGCGATCATTATTCTTTAACCTTGAAGCAGATTTTCTATCATAATTTTGCGAAGGTACAGTACGTGATACACGTGAATTAGGCTTGTGGGTAGTCAAATGACCACGATTCCCATGTTCGACTATAGCACGGAGTTGTTGAACGTCTGCCTAAAGCCAAACAATGCAATATAGTTAATTATAAAAACCTAACAAGAATTCTGATGTAATAGAAATGTCTGGTAGCAGAAGAACTTTCAAAACACATCGCAACACTATAAGAAAGCTAAATATCTGAGTCAGGGTAATTCGCTGCGTTCGATAGCGCGTATGAGTTTTCTCAGAGTCTACTAAAAGTTTATCTAATGCATTTCATAGTCTTCAATCTGTATATCAGTATTCATTTCTCAAAATCATATGAACGTAGTACGCTTCACGTTGTTCGAGAATGGGAGAATTTCGCCAAAAGACAGGCTTCCACTCAAGAACAATTGCATATTCTCCACGAGTGTCTTCGTCAGCATGTTCTGCCAACAAGTGTAAGATTCAATTACTATATTTGCACCACATTCACACAGCCTTTTTTAGACAAATTAATGGACGTTTCATTTTAACAATCTTGTTTATACTTTGCTAAAATATGTAGTCCATCCTCAATGCGTTAAACTATGCATAAACACTAAAGCATTGCTTGAACAATTATGAATAAGAGATTAAACTACTTAAAAATTACAAGTAGGAACACGTGTGTACTTAAAATAATCGCGACAATGTATGGAGTTCACATTGGGTTCGTGATTGAGAGTTGGTATGAGATATTATTCTTCGAGGCATTGAGAAACAAAGAAGCCCAAAACATGCTCCATTCACAGAGAAATAATTTTTATCAAATTGAAACACATCATGTAAAGACACAATGAATATTCGATCATTAAGCACGGGAACTATATTTAGGGCATGATAATTCAGAGTTGATCTCAAACATAACTCAAATGCCTTCCGTCCATGAATATATATAAACAACCAGATTCAGAAAGCTATGATAAACAGGAAAGAAAAATTATCATGAAGAACGTAAATATGAAGAAATTAGATTTTTTCGAAATGTTGATACCTGAAGCGCTTCAACTTCTTTTTGTTTGACTGAAGCTTTAATCGCAGGTGGTCGATCATTCAATGGTGGATCATATCTTCCGTCAATCCGATCAAATTTTCCAAGTAGTCTTCTATATAAAGGATGTCGATTGGAATTCACATCATCTAAAGGTATAAGCCTACGAACAGTAGCTCGATCTTCAGAACGATAAAGAGCAACTATGAGATTTTCAGCAGCTTCACGAACCTTTAAAAAAGATTACAAATCAAAAGTAGGGTATTTTAGCTATCAAAAACATCTTTTTAAAATGTTTCTTTTTGTGAAGATTTACTGATAAGGATAAAATAAATCGTTCTTATGTTTACTGCTATTCGACGGTAAACATAAAGCAACAACTTTTGTGCAAAATTAAGCTTCATTGCTCCTAACAGCATAAAAATATGCAAATACAGGAAAAAGTAAAACTTAGAAAATGTAAACACTAGGTTTGCAGCGACATAATGTTTCTGATAGCATACAATCTTCGCTAAAATAGAATACAATAAAATTTAACCGGCAATACAATAAATATTTAGCAGTAACTCACTTCGTTTGATCGATGGTCTAAGCATTTTGCAGTGAATATAGTTAGTGCCTCTAAAGTAAAACTTCCCTGATTGACATGTCCATGCTCATTACAAAAAACAGGATCTACACCACGACTGGCGTATAATTCTGTCGCTAGTTCAATTCGACTTAAAGCTAAACGATCTAATGTTACAGGAGAAAAGGGTCGAACTAATTCATTCCAAAATGTTGTATTTTGCTTCATCTACAATGATAGAAATAAAATACTTAGTTGAACTTAATGTCTCCGCAAGATAAAAACTCCACAATTTTGTCAATAAATAAATAAATTATTATTATCTACAAATAATCAAACATTTAACATTTTGCTTATTAAAAAAGGTTTGGAAAGATTGTTTAATTTGAAATTAGTTTACATTACCAATTGATATCTTCTGAGTCAAAGCAAGTATTCCACAGTTATCTCATATGCTTCACAACTAATCATTTTCTTATTAGCGACCAACTTCGAAACGATTTCCTGTATTTCTAGTGATATGGTTTGACAAATGAACATTAATCATGTTAGGATTCCGACCATTATCTTCAATGGTGTCGGATGGTCAACATACTATAATGTTGTTTGAATTTGAAAATGTGGATCGTTGTACTACAATTCAATAAACCAAAATTATCATACTAGGAAACCTAAAAGGTTCAACGTTAGATCCCTAGAGGAACAATGGTGTGTACATTGTTCGCTGGGTTTTCAATCACTATTTTGTCGATATCACTCCGTAATGAAAGCTTAGCTCAAATATTTTGGTAAACAGTTTCTTAACAAGTAATAACATTTTAAAATTTTTATATATGACTAAGGCAGATAATTTCTATGATAAGTATATATTGTTGATACGATAATTACACTGAATACTATGAAAAATTTTGCTGCATATGAAACTAAAACGCTGTTATAAAGTAATCTCTTTAATAAGAAATTAATAATAATAATACTAATAATAATATAGAATGAATAACCTGTGGCCATTGTGCCATATCTAAAATTTGTTGTTTAGCTATCTCCCTAACACGTGATGAAGTATCACCAGTTCGTTGAAAAATTACTGGAGTTAATTTATCCATGCAATAATATAAATCAGGTCGTGGAATACCATATCTATCAGCAAAATTGACAATTGTTGGTTTGACGAATTTTGTGGCTAAACGAAATATTGACAAAACCTGGAGAGAGGAAAAGAAAGAATATGAGAAAAAATGTATCATACATAATTGACTGTTTGGATACATGTATAAATGAATGTATTAAAAATATTCTAATTTTTGGAGGTGAATTAATATCTAAACGCAATCATATTTACAGAACTTTAAAAGAAAAAATTTGTATTCCTACTTGATCATTTAATGCACGACGTAAAAGAAATGTAGTCGATCGAATTTCAGCTTTTGGATCAGGATGTGCTGTATCAGGAAGTGATACAGGAGGAGGAAGTTTCGGTGCAGTTACACGCTGTTCTAATTCAAGTAGAGCTTTTTCACGAAAAACCCATGATTTGCTATATGCTTTTGTAACCTGTAAAGAAACAATGTAAATGTATTCAGAACAACTTCGTATTATGTAGTCACCTTAAATAAATTGAATTATATATATATATATATATATATATATATATATATATATATATATATATATATATATCAACTTAAATTTACTCCTGTTACTCCTCGTGAAGGAGCATAGACCGCTCACCAGCATTCTCCATCCAACCCTGTCCTAGGCAATCCTTTCCAGCTCCTTCCAGTTCCTATTCATCCTTTTCATATCTACTTCTATTTCCCAACGCAATGTGTTCTTTGACCTTCCTCTTTTCCGCTTCCCTTCAGGATTCCAAGTTAGGGCTTGTATCGTGATACAGTTTGATGATTTCCGTAATGCATGTTTTATCCATTTCCATCGTCTTTTCCTAATTTCTTCTTCAGTTGGAAGCTGGTTTGTTCTCTCCCACAGAAGGCTGTTACTGATGGTATCCGGCCAATGAATGTTGAATATCTTGCGTAGACAACTATTTATAAATACTTGCACCTTCTTGATAATAGTTGTAGTAGTTCTCGAAGTTTCAGCTCTGTACAGTAGAACTGCCTTGACGTTCGTATTGAAGATTCTCACTTTGATATTGTTTGAAAGTTGTTTTGAGTTCCATATGTACTTCTACTATAGGAATGCGGCCTTTGCTTTGCCAATCCTCGCCTTTATTTCTGCATCTGATTCTCCTTGTTCATAGGTGATGCTTCTCAGGTACGCGAAGGATTCTACATCGTCCAGAGTTTCGCCATCAAGTGTGATATATATAATAAAATAATTTATGAGTTAAACACTAACCAGCTGTCTGAGTTCATAATATGTTTCTAGAAAAATCTTTTCACAGAACTTTATGACAGAAACTTCATACATCACCACAATACAACAAAACATTATCACTTAAAATGTACCATTTAACAACAACTATTTTTTCGATTGAACAAATGAAATTAATCATTTTGAAAGAAAAAAAAACATGAAAGAAGGTAACTGATTTGTAAAAATAACGAAAACCTTCATTTTATAGAGTATTACATATCAACATTTATCAATACATAAATCAACTGATTCACTTAACTTTCAAAATATCAACAATAACAAAATAACATAAACTATTCTCACTGATAGAAAAGTACAATGATATTTTGAAGTCAATATTCAAGAGAAAGGATACAGTTAAGCATGAAATTTGAAAATCAATTAATCTAAGGAAAAACATAACAGTACTATATTGTTGAAAAGCACGTAATAAACAAATTGTTTCGTCAGACTTTTATTACATATGAATAAAATGAAAAACGACTATTTATTTCCCACAGTGTCACTAACAAACACAAAGATTTTAGCATATAACAATAATAATATCATTCACCATTAGTTACAGGATTTTATGTAGAATAAAGTTTTAAAAGTTTTAAGCAAAATCGATTCTTTATTCATCATCTAAAAATTCAAAATTTTAGGAGTAAGAAATAGTGTCATAATGATATAGTTTATGCAGACAATATCAATCTCAGTAAACCTGACATAAGGCAACATAGAACCTGGCACATATGTACATCGGTTCAAGTCGCTACATTATATCACCACAGCAGGATGCCTGAATAGAATAAGTAATAACAGTATTAGCGAGAGTAGAAAAAATGAGGCGGCGAGTCAGGTAAACACTTACAAACCAAGATTCAACTAACTGTGTAAAGGGAAATCAAAATGGTGAAAAAGAAAGTGTCTGGGTACAATTACTGTTTTCATAATCAAGACGATACACAATGCTTCTGTTGTGTATGGATGATGGTCTATTAAAGTTCACCTCACCCCAATCAAGTATTGATTTTAATAGAAACCCAGTAGTAAAACAAATTTTATTGTATGGACAGTAAAGATAAGATTTGCCAAACTCAGATCAGGTAGAAATTAAGAAAAAATTTAATTGTAAAAAAAATATATATATTTGCTTTCATTTACTTCTTCAGTCAGCTTCCCGTGTACAATAGAAAAATAGTTGAAGCTGTATTAAACAACCGCTCTTCTTAAGACATAGTAAATAAAACATGAAAATCAAATAAGTTGACTGAAATGATATTTAGTGATTCTCAAGTACAAACACTGTTTTATCACGTAAGTTATGTTTTGCTTTCGTATTACAATTAATTAGTAACTATATATATTTAGAGCAACCAAATAAGAATATACTATTAACTTATTTCCACTTACTTCGATGTAATAAACATAAATATTGATTAATTTCCAATAATCCTATGATAAAATAAAGAATTACTTTGATCCTACAACCCACTGTCTTATGAAAATTTCATGACAAAATGAACATGATCGTTACAATAAAACACATAACCTACCATATGAGCATACAAATATTATAAAACTCTTGTTATTTTTTGATTATACTCATATAGAATTCAAAAGACTAGTAAATAAAACAATTAAATAAATCATTTGAAACATGCAATTTAGATTGTTATCTTAATGTACTTTTTAAAAATTATATATAATCAGTTAACTGTACAAAATATATATTCGAGATGGTTTTTAAAAAAAAACAATATTATTAATAAATCATAAATGATTCTTACAAGGTTAATGCCTACAACATCAATAGCTACACCAGCCTGACGTCGATTGGTTTCGCTCATTGGCTCAGGAAGATCAAGTATACTATGCTGAAAATTTTCTCTACCATCGACCATGCGATCATGAGCTGCTTGTTCTAAGTATTTCATCGTTTGTTCATCTTCATAAGTATCAATGTCTCTTTGAATAGCTTCAACTGCATCAAGTGGTGGTATATGTTCAGAATGGTTGAAATTCTCAAAAGATTGTTCATGAAGCACTGGGACTGGTAATTCCGATGTATAATGCTCTTCGTCAGCTGGATCTACTATTGGACTATTATTTCTATGCTTATTTTTAAGAGCTGGTAAAGGACGTTCATCAGGATCATTTGAAGGATAAGCACGACGAAATGGAAAGTAATCAACATCTTGATTATCATTATTGCCATTGTTGTTATTAACAGTATATGACCCATTACTACGCCTATTTTCGTTTAGATCATCACTTATTAATAAACTTTGAAAATGTATTGGTTGTATTGGATTTACTGGTAAAAGAAAGGAGAAATATAAAACAATTTGTGAATATATTTATTCTAGGGGACTTTGAAAATTAACAACTCTATTAACTACCTGTTCCTACATAATAAATATCTACTATAATTTGTTGATTTATAAGCTTTTTTAATGTTTGATATGTTTTATAGAGAAGCATAATAATAAATTAGGCTTCTATTTAGTAATAAAATATTATTTTTTCTTATCCTATTTGACAGACTTTATCGGTAAATAGAAACAATGATAAAGGTAACACATAATTATGCATCTTTAACTAAGAAAAAACTTATTAGCACGAAATATGATTGACATTTGAATCAGTAAAAACAATCTACCTGTAAACTTGCACAAACAGCTTAATAATTGGTCAATGAAAAGAATAAGTCTGTTATATGACGTATGACAGTAACTAGGAGTATGAATGGCATATGTTTCATTTACTGTATGTGTTAATAGTTTCGCCAGTCATTATCAAGAGCATAGAATTATTCACATTAAGAATTTCATAGTCTAGGAAACAGGTAATGATCGATAAGGAAGAGTGGAAATTAAGACCACAGTAGAACAACAAGTTGAGTAATTTCCGTTACTATACATAGTACTGGCTTTCCTATACGTATGATGAAAGCTTTAGTAATACAAAGTAGATAAGTGTACTACTTTTCGTGAGATTTTATTCACAGCCGTTCCGTTTCTTTTGCTTTTCTAGGTATTTCAGCATAGATTTAGGGAAGCTAGAATAATTTTTACTAAAGAAAGTTATTCAACCTCTTCTCTTACTAAAGTCTTAAATTCAAATTTTCTCACACCACTTTTTCTATTTTACTTTGTCAAACTCTTACCTCTAATCTACTTATTCTGTTTGCATCCCTTACTGGTAATACCGAGCTTCATTTCCGAAATATATCGAAATTTATTACGGAATTAATTTTCACGATTGTTAATTTTTATCTGATTTCTATGACGTTCCTAATTAATTGTCAAAGTCTCAACAACTACATTTTCAGTTCCTTAGTGGCAACGATAATAATAATAATAATAATAATAATAACAATAATAATGCATCTTGTATAGGTTGTTTGAATCTTCTCATTGACGTTTAGCTTTGCAAGTAATCAGTTTCTTATTGGCATATGTGCATTATAAGCAGAGATGGATGATGTCTAGCAGTGGAATTCGGGATACGCAATTCATCCTATTCGGAATTCCTCAGCTGAACGTACCAGCAAACGGTACTGGGTTTGAATCTCAGAGCGAACATCAACTCCAGGATGCATGTGCAGCCGGCTGACAAATCCCAAATAGAACAAAACGCTTGTTCTGAATCCCACTGCTAGTTACCATCCATCTCTGAGTATAATAATGAGAATAATAATAATAGCAATATTAACGTCCTCATTCTGTTTACTTTGATGCTTCGTTAATACGTATGATAAATTAATGTCGTCATATCAAAACGTTTCAAAGAGTTTCTTCATTTACGAACAGTAAGGTTGACTTCAGATACATAAAACAAATTCATATGTTATGAAGAACAAATATGCATTTTCAGAAGAGGTTCTGTGGAGATTTTAAGAAGTTCACTGATTGAAATCATGAGTCAATGGAAGCTAGACCACCATGGAAAACCTGGAACTCGTACGACTGACTACAATGCAAAGTCGTGCATAGATGACAACTGCCGGATGTACTCCGAGTGAGGACCGGTGTCAGACAAGGCTGCCTACTGTCACCCTTTATATTTCTTCTTGTGGTTGACTGAATTACGAAGACCTCCACATCTGAGGGGCAGAACGCAATAAAATGAACAGCTTGGATACAACTGGACGAGCTGAACTTTGACACAAAAGTGAGCAAGGTAACCACATACACATAAACACAAATACTTTTATAACCATCAACACTTACTTTTGTTCCGGTCATTATTCTGAAATAAGAAAACAAGAGCATACAAGAACTTACAACTACTGCGAAGAGACGAGGGAAGAATATATATATATATATATATATATATATATATATATATATATATATATATATATATAACATGGATAGTCATTATTATTATTTACTACGGTTAACATCTTCTTGTTATTTATTTCGGTAAATGAATTTGGTCATTTTCTGGTTCTATATGATGGGTTGCTTCAGCAAATAACAAAGCAATCCAGAACGCAAATTTTATACCATGTGAGACTCGTCAGCTGGATGCATCCTGTTGAAGAGTTTCAAAACGTGATAAAACACACACTGCACACCCCAATGCTAGTCGCTATCGGAAATATGAATAAAACATGGATATTTATTCTTTTGGTGAATTAGTGTGTATAGTTTTGGAGGAGTATCTAACAGATGATCTTCTGATAGTGTTTTTATGTAATTCTAACTGCAGAACTTCTTTTGATTTATTATTGCGAGACAACTATAAGTCTGTTATTGAATTTTATTCATTAGAATATCCTAGTTGAGCCCTCATTAATAGCTATCGCAAGCTTTATTCTGATATTTCGTTAGTATAATTGAGTGGAATCATGGACAGAAATCCTAGTGTACTTGTGACCACTTCATCATCTTAGGTTATGCCATTCTCATTTAAAATTCATGGAAAAGAGGAAAATTTAACTAGAATGTATTGAGTCAGTGAAAAGATAGAAACAGAGTCCGAAGATCTATCGTTAATGATGTAGGAGACATTAATAATAATAGTATTAATAATAATAAGACTTATACGCCACCGAATTCCGGTTCAGTGACCTAGCGGTTAAACGTTTGCATCTGAGACAGATCTTGGGTTCGATTTCCAATCAGGAAGCCGTGGACGCAAACCGCTGAGAAATGCCGTACTAGAATGAAACGACTGTCCAGTCCTTCCGGATTTTCAAAGATCGATTAGTGATTTCAATAACCTTCAACAAGCTCCACAACCCCATACTAAGAACAATAATAATAGTAGTAAATGAATAAATTTACACAACTAGAATTATGTAATCTTCAGTTCAGTTTTCTTACCGTATCAGGAAACTGATTATCAGATCGACCATAAAGTTGTTCACGTTGTTCTGTTGAAGTATTACTAGACAACAATTTCATTAAATCAATATCTCGATATAAGTTATTACGCATTTCAGTTATTTGATTCTTTTTTAACTTAGCTTGTTCATAGTTTTCTTCTTCAACAGCTTGTTGTTTTTCAAGTGCTAATCTACCGAGACGTTCACCGACCTGAAAGATAATGAAACAAAGGTAAATTATGCAACTAATTCGTTTACCAAGCAAACAATTTATGTCTGAACCTTTCCTTATCTTCTATAAAATTACATGCTCAGTTTAAAATATCAACTATTAAGTAGCTGGCAATTAACAAGCCAGAAGACTTTAATTTAAATACACTAAGTTAAAAATTTGTCCAACAATTGCTATGTTAATGTATAAACTCAAGTTTAAAATCACACATACCTGATGTAGTTGAGTTATAGCATCTCGTATACCTTGAGCTTGGTCAAAGCGTTCAGCTAAAAATTAATTGTAAAAAATAGAGGAAACATAAACAATTGTTGGAAACCTAAACCGATTTTTGAATGTTAACATTGATTGAATGTAGTGGATTACGTCGATTAACTGATTGAATATTTAACGGATGATATATGAAGAATTATCCAAACAAATAGATACAACATAACAATAATCAACTACATGATTTATTTTCCAATTTTTCATATCATCGTGTATGCGTAACTTTAGTGCTGTTGACGAATTCAAAAAATATTGATAAATTGTAAGAAGACAAAGTGAAACTGTAAAGATTCAAGGGGGTTTTTGAATAAAGTTTGTTGTTTTGAAACTATATAGATCAATTTATTATTTCAACCCTAACTAACAATAACTGAAATAAAAGTTGAATAAAATATATAGTTAGTCTTTTTTTCCTTCATCTAAACAAACACGTGATACATATGAAACAAAAAACTTCAAAGAGCTGATTATTAACCGAGTCTTATTGTAATAAAATTGGTTTTATTTCCTCTACAATTAGATCAATTCCGGAGAATATAGAACATGTCGAGTAGATTTAATCTTTTAAATGATTTATCAAATTTCTTTCACATTGGCCTCTCAGTTCTTAGTAGAGATCACTATGATTTACTGCAGTACAGAACTTGATACCCAAACTCACTTTTCAAGTAAACCTGATAAACAAAGTTTGATCTATTACACAGGTAATATGGAGTAGTTTATTCAGTTGAATAGCAGCTACTTTAAATAATAAAAGGTAAGTTGGACAGTCAAATTATAATTTCATTGAAACCTTGAAGCATTGAGAGGCCGTTTCGTTCTAGTTTGGGACTTCTAGGCAGTGCACATCCACGATGTCGCACCTGGAACTCGAAGCCCAGAACTTCCTGTCTCACTTTCAGGTTTTCAATGATGGTGATCGGTTCATTATTTCAGTGAAATTCAAAAATATCTACAACCCTATACTGCAAATTATAATTGTTTAAAAACTCCCAAGATATATTAAAAACACAGTTATACGGACAAAAAATATTCGTTTCAATAACTCCTCATTAGGTTCTATAAATATACATTCAGATCAATCTCTGATAATTTCAATCGGCTTAACATCACACCTGATTTTTTCAAAGTTAACAGTTTTATTTTATTTTAACCAACAATCATAAATTAAGGTACTTTAATTTTTAACGAATGTATTTTCTTTAAATTTAGTTATTCCTTTGTAATATTAATTTTCATGCGTAACTGTAGAAAATGACAAGAAGCCATTGAAAAGAATAAACTTCGTTCATATACCTGAATCATCGTGAAAAAAAATCACCTGAGATAAACTGTTTTCTAGTAGGAATTCTAAAACAGTCAACTATCTTCTTTAAGGTCATTAAATACTTTTCAGAAGCTGAATGAAAACAAATACAAATATATCTGCACTGAAAACAGCTTAGTAAATGTAAATTAGAAATATTTTAAAAGCTACAGAAATGAACTCAGCCAAACAATGTAGCTCGAAATTAATAATAATTACCAAAATATTAATCAACGATCATTGATATTCTACTATGAAATTTAACAACTTATAACTCAATATTTCTTTACAATTTCGATATGTTATCTAACCAGTCTTTACATAACATATTATTCTTAAATAATAGAAATCTGATCAGAATGTGGTTTGAGGAGATTGTATTAATTTTAATAGTTGAATTCATGAGTCAATGTACGATGGACTACCATTGGAAACCTGGAAGCACCAGACGACCGTTTTGTCCTAGTACGGGACTCCTCAGCGGCGTGCATTCACGACTCGAACCCATGACCTTCGGTCCTGCACGCTAACGCTTAACCTCTAAACCACTGAACTGTTAATGAACTGTTAATGTCTAAATTCTATCTATCCATGAATGGCTGCACAACGACTCATCCATTGTCTAAGGTAGATACCTGTCTCTACCCGAAACATATTGGACTCCAATAGTCACGGCTTCTCACTAGGACTCAATGGTGGTCTAGCTTACATCGGCACACGAATTCAAGTATAATAAAAATCTGATGAAAAATGAGGCACATACCCTTAACAGCTAGACGTTTTTGTTTTTCTAACCTTCTTATTATGTTAGCAACTTCGGGATCTTGATACATATCAAACGCTAAGTCTTCAGTGGGAGGTATGTAATCTGGCCTAGACAAATAAAAATAGATGAGTAAAATAGGGGAAAATCGAAAATTGAAAAATCACTATAGTACTTATAAGTCAATTTAAAAATGAAGGACAACTTCTGTAAAAACATATGGAGTTAAGGACTAAACCCAGATAAGTTGTCTGAAAACAAATGATCATCGATTAATAGAGCGTGTTATTTCACAATTAAACATTTGTAAGTGTAAACACGTTATGAAGATAATGATGACTTAAGTGGTTAATACAACTGTAATGCAGTGGGATTTTATGAGTTGATCAATAGTCAGGTTTTTGATTATTAAAGCCAATAAACGTAATGATACGAAGTGGTCAAGAGATGGTTACTCATCAAAACGGATTACAGACTAAGAACCCAATCGAATAGATAACAGAAAATAAAACAGTTTCCAAATAGAATGGGAGTTCGACCTGATAAAACAACAGGGTTATATACGAATTGTCAATGGAAAAATACACAGAACTAGATTTTATATATAAATTGAGAAAACTAGTTTTATGTCACTCACTCCAATGAAGACCTGACTGTTAGGCTTCAGTCCTTGCCTATTATATCAATAACAACGAATAAGATCATATTAGAAGCTTTTAAATGTTTGGAGTAAACTGCACGTTAAAAGTTTGAAGAAAATTCGCTTTCATGATTTTGAAATTTACAGACAACACATCTAATGGGGGAAATTTTATTTATATCTTACGGAAAATGCAGGTACACCTATATATTGAAGTGCATCTATTTAGACAATACAGAATAAAACAAATTCAGATTGCTGAGTGACGTCACAAGAAAATATTGAATTACCGAGGATTCGAATCAAATAAAGAATATTTTATCTATAAATTTTGTCATATTTCACAAAGATTAATAAGGTAGATCATGATCTAGTTACTTATTTGGAACAAAATTCACTAATTATTGATGCGATGGACACACTATATGCCTTTTTATAATTGTTATAACTTTGGATCTTTGCATATTTAAATGACAAATGCTTAACTGAACAATTCAATCAAAAGCATGCTATCAATATACTATTTGTCCCTTCTGCAAGGTTAATTATTAAACCTATCATTTCAGACATCTTACAAAGTTATTGGGAAGAACTAATGAAGCACTTTGGTAGTATTACAGCCAAGTAATATACATGATCTAGACCAGGAATGCGCTAGGAAAGTCCGAAAACATTGTCTTGATTCATTTTACTACTAAAAACGCAAATTACTACCACACGAAACTTCACATTTTATTAGCATTTCATGCTTTATGTTGTGTTGATTCCCACTCACTCTTCCGACGTGCGATGTGGCAACTTGAACTAAAGAAGGCCTGTGTCAGGCCTCGCGTTGATAGTGACTGACCAACACCATTTTAAAGCGAATAAACGAGCATGTATATTCAGTGAAATGCCTATACAACTCAATAACATAAAAGTTTATTCAATAAAGTCTGTGTTAATCGCATACTCCGACCACCGATTTAAATTAATTTTTCTCGAGGAACACGTACTTCTATACATTTTGATTTATCAACATTTAGCAACAATCACAATGAAGAAGTCATACAAACAAGCATCGAAATACATTTAATATTTCCTAAAAAGGTGCTGAAAATGCAAATTCTCATAAGCTATTATATATTGATAAAAACATTTTTTGATTTCGCTATCATTAATGGTAGCGATTTGTATGCACAGTCATTTAAGGACAAAATCATTGTGTGAACAGATTACTTTACTAGAGGAGCTATAATATTCAGAAGAAATACATAGGCGATATTACGTGGAGTGGTTTCAAAATGGACGTTCTATTCAAGTACCATACAATATGCACATTACTTAACAGAATTGAATACAAGGTTGCAGTATCGAACCAAACGAAGCAACAATCAAAAGAAACTTACTCCAAGATGTCAACTACTAAATTTAAAAATGTAAATAGAGCAATGAAGCCGGTTAATGATCTTTCAAAATATAACAATTAGGAAAGATTTATCCATCTTTTAATCGACTTGAAATACAGACAGAAAGCTATGCGATCGCCACTGGTGTGATCCTAAACCACAGATCATTTCAATTAACTTATTTGCGTGAACCGTCTAATGTCTCATATGGTTTTGAGACATCAATGGACAGATAAATAACAGGCCCACGACACCATACAATAAACTGACCGCCACCAACTATATCCTGACGAACCTAACCTCAACAAAAAATTATGAACAGTGCATATGGTTTGTAACATGACATAAAATTTTAAGTATTTCAAACATGTGAGACGAACTTTTTCGTCGCAATTGACTCAGGCTAATCGGTTCATCAGGGTTAAGAGACGATTCATCCATCGCTACTAAATTAAATAGTTCAGTAGTAACTGTATATTAACATTAAATCATACTAAAATACACGACATATCTCGCTTATATGTGTTGTCTTAATATTGCTATGCTTTTAGTTATCTAGTCTTTTCAGTTCGTTTACTTTTAACAAATAACATACACTAAGACAAAAAAAGCGTAACGTACTAAAAAAGTTGGAGTTTTATATAATTGCATAAACGCAGCACAAGACGATGAAAACAAAGGATAATAACTACAATCACATAAAACAACAACGTATGAATCAGTAGAATCTGTCAAGGTACTTACTCTAAATAAATAATTTAGTTTTGAAAAAATCCACCCAATAATTCACCGGTTAATTTAAGTAAATTTGAATGTCTTTGTACCAAAGACAATGGAAAAGATATTTTTGGGAGTATTAATTAGGAATCAAATGTTTTATGTATAGTATTACATTAAGTTTGTTACAACATAAACCGATGTAACAACATATAGGTGGAAGGTTTACGCATAACTAAGCAGAAAGTATGACATTACTTTATGAGCAACATATTTATTGTATGCTAACATGCTGACCTTTACCACTTACTTAGAACAAAATAACATACCTGAAAAGACCTACTGGGGAATCATCAGAATCCGACCGCCCATTCTTATCCATAAAATCGCCGATCAGATTTATGGCGACAATCCCAACCTACAGAAATAACGAATCCAGACATTTTGACGTACCTGACTGTATAAGTTTAAGTTATTCGGATGGTTTTTATAGAGAAACAGTTGAATATATGAGCCGGAGGCGTCAATATGAACTGACTTTAATTCCCTCGCTTTGTACTCTGTGGCCTGATTGTCTGATAGCGCTACATATCTAAAATATAGGATACATACGAACTATGTGTAGACTGATTTACCCAAGTCTAGTATACCTGGCGTTTTTAAAATGTTCCATTTCATCGTCCGGCGTATCTCCGACGAAAAACTCAATCTTTGACGCTAAAATAACAGTAACAAGTTAGTTTTACGAACAAACCAATTAAATATTGATGGCAAAGTATCTGTATTTTGCGAAAACTAGCTTTGGCCTCCAAAGATAAAATAAGCTGTTGAGGGTAAGAACAAAAACGAGTAGAAATCCATCCTTTAGTTCCTGGATGGTGATGATTTAGTTCTGTGGCAGGGAAGTGTTCGTCTTGGCTTGAAACATAGACGACACGAAAAGGTAGCTTGTGTGGCATAATCTGACCACCTTTAACGCCAATGGACAAACGACGCGCTAGTACAGGAGACTTCTATTGGTGTAACAGTTTACATAACCTGAGTAACTAAAACCCATGACTTGAAAAAACAAAATATCTTAAAACAGATTTTTAAAATTATTTAGTATCCAAAATTAACAAAAAATTAATATTCTGCTGTTTCTATGAAATTTTTTCAAGATCCCTTTCCTATAACCAAACAGTAACACTTTTACCTAGTGTATTTACGAGTTTTAAGTCAGAAGCAAACTACTTACTCTTTTTTACCACAGATGTGTGGTACTTGAATGAACTGATTATTTTTTGTACTTGAATACTTGCTCATTACGAATTTCAAATACAATACGTTGATTTCTGCTCACTGAGTTCTATTTGCCTTAAGTTGCACTATTTTGGGAATCCTTAGTTGGTACAGTAATTCGAATACTTATTGTTATACACATGATAGAACAGTTGGATATATATTCAAATTCCGAATCTTTGACGGATCACGTGGAAAGGTTTGAAATCTGGAGTATGACGAAGAAAGATCATCAGAATGATAAAGTTGTGGCTCTGATTGTCTTTTCCAATGGGCGATTGTGTGAAATATATGTATTCAAACTCCACTCTCGTATTTGACTTATTCGATTCCGTCACTTACTAACGCGACTCAAGTCGATGAAATATACAAGGAAAGCATAAAATCCAACTGGAGTCAGATACAGTGACATTAAAGCGTCCCACTAACCCCTCACTCTTTATGTGCGGCGTCATAAGTGTCGTCAAGATTTCTGTGGCTCAAACAAAAGATAATGGTGACCGTCTGTTGTAGCTATGCCCGGATAACTGCCTGTTTCTTGCGAATACTAACTTTAAGCATAGGGAAAAACATCTTTCAACATGATGACCCCCTATATTCGTCCCAACGTTGGACCCTAATAGGTCACATCGCTATCAGTCACCGATGAAGGGGCTCGATAGAAGACTGTCGCTCGTTCTGGAGCACATGCTTAGATTCAATTCATGCTCTAGCACGGGCGCGTATTTGCCTGAGTCTTACTGAACTTAAGAAAGACGCCATAAGGGAACTTCTAAACGTCCTGTTTAATGATAGTCAAACTAAGAGCATATTTTAGGAGCAACTAGGATAACAGTTAGGCAGCCATATAGGTGATGCCCACCCCGAGGCAGCATGGAATGATATCCGAAAAGCTGTGGAAGCAGCAGTGATGTCTGCTAGTAAGGTAAACCACAAGGTTAGGGAGCAACACTGGATCTCAGCAGAATCTACCGCACTGATAGATGCTCGAAAACTCATTCAATCTGGCTCTGAACATGACGGAGATCAGAGTCAGCTGAAGCGCAGGCTGATAAGAAGCCGACGCAATGATTGTGAACAGTGTTGGGTAGTGAAAGCAAGAGAGATGGAAAAGGCAGCGGCACTAGGTAATAGCAGACAACTGTTCAGACTTGTTAAGCAATCTAGTATTGGGAACCTGACTGTTAGTGTAACTATCTAAGAAAAAGATGGACGTATTATACATTCTCAATCCAGGAGATTAGATCGATGATCAGAACACTTTATCGATCGTTTCAACTGGCCTTCAGCCACACTTCGTTTTCCGACAATCTCCGGTCGATTTGAATGGCAAGTTGATGAACTAAACCTAGTCACAAGCCCTTCTCCATTATTCACTGACGGTCCATTTTAAAACGACCACGACTATTGCTAAGCTTTCTATAACTTGATATAGCATTCCAGCATTTAGTGCACGTATCCGGTGTAAAGCAGTCTGGTATGGTGAATAGGAACTACAGTCACGGCTAAATTCACACCATAATCTAGCTTTTTTAACGAAATTTACATAGTTATATGACAACTTTATCGACTACATTAATGTGGACATGGCTGTTATTATACGTCACACTCGGTTGACGTGAAAACGATGAGTATAGTTCACCATCTCAACCCTAAGTACATCATTTTAAACGTGAGCCTAAAGTGTGGAAATCGGAAAACTGAAAAGGTGGTACATTAAATCTTTGAACTGGGCACAGTTTCATGATTTTATGCTTTTCAGAATAAAATGGAGTTTATAGATCTACAGCATGGCGTCAGCCAAAAACGGAACTTAATAATGACAAGGTGCAAACGTCAGGATCAGTTAATTAACAGTCCTTTTTCGTCTTGTAAGAATTCATGAAAGCCATAGTAAGTGGAAGGCTTAAAACTAACCTTATTACTGTTAAGGCGTCAGCACTAAATTCCACCGGCCTTGGTAAGAGAAACCATTAACCACTTTGAACTTCTTATTCAAATAACTGTGATTAATATGCAGCGAGTTGAGCCCAAACGTCTCTTTCTTGCTTCCGAGCCTCCTTCACTTTTGATCATGTTTTGTAATTATTTTATCCCAAATAATCTAGCATAGTCGCTAACAATTATAAAAACAAATTGCCACTAAAGTTTTAACTTATTTCTCCTGCAAATCGCGGCCACATTCGTAAGTAAAAATGAAACTAATTATCTGGGCTTAGATTAATAAACTGAAACAAAGCAAAGAACAACAACTTAACGGATGATGTTTACAAAATATTGGGCATCGGACAAGTGTCTCAACAGTGCATACTTCAAAACCTCAAGGTTGTGCATTGGTAATGCGTGTCGATTTTGAATTTGTTAATGTAATCTTAGTATCATTTCCATCTCAAAGTTGTTGTAGCGCAGTTCACACAGCCCAAATTTTATGAAACGCTCGAAAACTAGCTTTTTTAAAAGGTATAGTTTCGAAGGTAGTTGGGGATCTATTTTGATACACTGACGTCACTTAAATTCTCTGTGGTCAGAATATGTCTATTTCGCATCAAAAATGAAATTGAAGCGCACGGAGTTAATCTTTAGTTTTGCGGAAGTCTTCAAGTATGAAAATACCAGAGTTGCTTGGGATCCATCTATATAGCGAAGGTGACATTTTAACTCGAACTTTTTCGATACATAATTCCCCGTTGTGCCACTACGCTTGTAGTGTTCCTAATCTTGTCCGGCCTACGAAATGGTTTTCTGCACTACCAATAATCCAATACAGCGAGATCTTTTCGTAATGAAAATTAATCATTTGTTATCTAGCATTGTCTACACTCACCCTAGTCACTTTAAAAATACCAAACACATGGACCTTATTGGAATGTAAGACATTCATTCTGTGATTATTTTCTCAATTAAAACGTTGTAGTAGTACTGTATCCAATCGAATTTTTATCATTGACACTACAAAAGCCTACATGTTATGGGTAATTGAAATCTTTAATGCAACAAGTATGCTTGCCACTAATTTGTCCATACAGTTTAAGTTAATTGAAATCGCTCCAAATATCTGACCCCTGCAGATAATAATATTAATAAATGAATCCTTAACTACTGTTGTACTGTGATGCGTGATGGAGTTGACCGTAAGTCATTGAAATGGAGCTTTCACGAAGCATTTGTGTAACTAAATCTTCATTTTTTACCGTAACTCTGCTCCTTCAATCATTCAAAAATCGATACTTGGATGTAAAACAACCATGCCTTTCATAAAGAACGCTTTTTATCGTTTCATGAGGGTGAAAATGTGTTTATAAACATTACTGTGGCAAAGCTTTTGAAATGATACTTAGTTTAATGTCGAAATTTTTCATCACTATTAAATCATTTTTAAACCTCCAATTATTTTCACTCCTGGCAGAAACATCGCAAAATTTAGCCGATTATTGAACAATGTAAACTGACAAAAATGGCCAAGACTAAGATCTTAGCGAAATTCGGAGAAGACCCGGTTAAACTTACTACAACAAGTACAGAAGCAGCACCATTGAGACCTCTTAAAATCGACTACGATGTAAAGGAAAAGACTTCTTTTCTATTCCTATCGTCGGGGCCTAATTTTTATTATTATCACTGACCCTGTTGCTACGCCTACCGTTCTGGGATTTGGCCCAAAATCTCCATTTCTCCGTGCTTACGGGGTATGGCAACTTGAACCGATGTACATACGTACGGGTTCTACGTAGTGGCTGACCAACTGAAGTAAAGTATTAAAATTTGACGAATAAAATTGAGATCTATCCATCCACAAACGATTACATGAACTTTGCAACCCCGATGTTAGATTTGGGACTAATTCATCAAGTGCTTGAATGTCTGCGCTCCATATTTATTTAGAATGCGCTCTTAAGTTGATCTTACGTCAAGTCAGGGTATCGTATTTATACATTTAAAATGTTACATTGGATACTCTGTATTCAAGTTATTTCATATGATGGGGCTAAATGTACTGTTTTACACACTACTAGTTCATAAAATCAAACCACCAGAAACTTCATAGCGTCTGTCTTCTCATTTCTTAACTAACACTTATTTGCCTTCCAGACAATAAGCATTTGAAAACCGATGGATGAAAACTTGGAAAACTTCTCTAATGCTGATTTCGATGCTAGATTGTTCGTCTCTTATATTGTTGGTACTAATAAAGTTTCAAATGTTTTATGCACAATAGATAACCGAATAAGAGAGTAAGTAGACAAATAATAAATTGTTTAGTTGTATGTAACTCAGGATGTATTATGTCTATTCTTAATAAAACTTTCGGAAATGAAAAAAAACTACTTGGCTAATTATAACAAAGGTAAATTTAATATTTTGTTCAGAAATATTCAGATCATGTTCATTGTTCTAGGAGACTATATCAACAAATCCGTGAAAGATGCCGATAAATTCTTGCATCAACTAATTGTGTAGTTAGTGTAACCATATCATCATATTTTCTGAGCTATAGAAAATACCATCCAACGTTTTAATGACTAAGGCAACCAATCAAATATGATTTTTGGTCTCTTCGAAAACATGTTTTAACGTAAATATTTGCATTTTCTGTGAAATAGTTGATCACAAAATCTAACAGTATAATTAAAATCTTTGAATTAGCTTTATCATCTGAACTAAAAGCCTTGTTCAGTCTTAATGAGTCTCAAGTAACTTCTAAAATCACGTCTTGATTGTGATGGCATAAGTAAAAATAAA